CCCTGCTAGCTGCTGCTTTTGAAAGAAGAATATCCACCTTGAGCAATCAAGCACTTTTTCAGGGGGGCTGGAATCAGTAGTGTTTACCAGTTGAAATGTAAGTTTTTAAGATCTGTAGCTGATGGCTTGCAGTGCACTGAGGAGAGCATTAAGGGCTGCAGCAGACTTCCAGCTAAGTTTGGTAGCTTTGGATCCCTCTCTCTTGTGGCTTCTGCCTTACTTTTACCTTGCCACTTCCTATGTAAAAATCCTTATAGCTCTCTGCTTGGTCAGGATGGTCAAGACCAGGGTCGCCTCTCCCTTAGCACATGACAACTCAGTTGCTTTAAGTCTCATTTCCCAATTATGAGGGTCATGAAGGATATGAATGTGTATTTCTTTTTCTGATTAGATTTCTGGCATTGCATCTTGACAGAAATACAAAGCTGCTTTTGCTTCTTCTGTGTTTCATTTGGTGCCTTACAGGGAACACGTCCAGTGCCACAGCTAGGCTTAATGTCTCTAGGAAGTACACACAGACTCTGTTTGGGAGGGTAGTGATGAATATTTCAGTGACTGGTCCTATTCAGTTTGCTTTTGGCCTTCCTTTCTAAGGGATTTTTTAAAAACTTTGTTCAATAACATGGATTCACAATGAGAAGCTGATTTAAAATGAGAAATCATTCAGGACAGAGGATTATGTTTTTCTTTGTTTCCATGGGACAGGAGAAAACAGTCCACACATCTGTGGTTGAGAACATGCATGTGAAATTCAGTTTGTAAGAGTATGTCTGTGCTATTCTATAAGTCTTGATAACTACAGCTTACTGATTTAGCATTTAGTAGTAGTTAGATTTTGTTTTCACTAGCAAGGGACTAGATAAAAATTACATTTTAATGCTCAACTACGTAAAGTCTGTGCAATTTAATGAATAACAATACAATTAATACATTAATTTAATACAATTAAAATGCAAATCCAGTATATTTTTTTTTGCCTTACATACTGAGTGGATTCAGTATTTCTTTATTTTGCATTGCTGACAAAATGAAAAACTATAAACTACAGAATCTACACATCAGAATAGGATAAAAAGATAAATGCTTCTATGGAATCCACCTGCTCATCTTGTACATTCATTGTGTGTACTACACACCTAAATTCTGTGCTAGTAATGAAGTAAATGCTGAGTATCCTCTACATACTTACCTATAAAATAGCATACCTCTGTATTTAAATTTAATCTGTACAATTGCCAATTTAAAACTTAAATGTGAAGTACCATTGCTGGAGATGTCATACTGCCAGTCAAACTTGAATGTGACTGTAATATGTAGTGTAATGCTATGGTTATTCTTTCGTTTTGTCCCCCCCTTTTCTCATTGTATGAATTGTGGCAATATGCTGATTTATACTTCACAATTTCAGTTTTAAACTGGTCTCTGAATTACAGTGGTTGGCATTTAACTTGAAATAGCTTTTATTTCCAAGTGGATATTTATGAAACAGTGTAGAACTTAGGTTTTCCAAAAGTATTCTGAAGACTAGTTTTGCAGACAAGGATGATGTTATGCTGTGGGATCTTCTAACATGTCTAATTTTTCAGGTGGCAGAGATAAGCGTGGAGGTCCCATTCTAACTTTTCCAGCTCGTAGTAATCACGATAGAATACGGCAAGAAGACCTTAGAAGACTAATTTCATACCTAGCTTGTATTCCCAGGTAAGTAATGGACACTTGATGGGTTCTGAAGCTATAAAATAAAGTAAATGGTTTCTGATGGAGTACGTCCACAAGCTAGAAGACTGAACGGGTTAAAAAAATTACCAAATTCATACCAAGTTCTGTCAGTTACTGTTTTCAAACTGCGTTTTGGAAGAGATCAGAACAGCTGGTGTGCTTTAGCTGAAAGTAGTTCATGTCTTGAAAATTACACTGCCATGCCATATTACTGTCACTGTGTTGAAGATTGCAAATGCAACTCAGTGGCTTTCAGTACCTCAGTGATTAGAAACATTCTGGTCATCATTCACAGTTTACCTTCCGTGGACTAAGGTTGGCACAACAGCTCCCAACTATTATTTGTATTAGATAAGTTAATAGTGTACTGATACAGCACAAGAATAACCAGTAGAAAGAAACGTGAAATTTCTTGTAAAGGTCTCAGATAAACCTGCAGGGAGATCTTGAAAGTACTGATATCATTGTATTATCAACAGTTTAAGCTATGAAGTACAATATTGCTATTTAAATAAATGGGCAGAAGTCAAATCCAGTGCTTGTACACACCCACGTTTTATATATATACTTAAAGTTGTATATATATAAAAAAAAGTTTTTTCACGTAGAATTTTATTTCTGGTAGTAACTGAACTGGGGACAAACATGATTGTAAGACCCTGACTGCCTCAGAATCTGCCAGCATTTTATGCAGACTGGAGCAATGCTGACTGTGCTTGAATATTTTTGCTATGACCTAAAGGAGTAGTTGTCATTACTGTTGAAAAAAAAACCCAACAAAACAAAAAAAATCCAACAAATCAATCCCTGAACTATATCTTTGAGTGCAAGGTAGAAGGAGGAGGACAGGAAGAAGGCTTGAGATTTTTACTTCTGAAATAATTTGACTTCACATTTGAATGTTTGAGATGTATTTCAGCCCTCTAGATCTTCAAGTTACTAGAGAAGTTAATAAATAAAGATGCATTGAAATATGCCCAAGCTTTTATAGATAATCTGGCAAAATACAGGGGGCTTCTGGCAAAAGGTGTATATTAGTTTATCATCAATAGATAAAATAAAAAGAAAGTGCAGGTTTTATATCTCAGTAAACATGGCAAAGCTTTGAGAATAAAAGGAGCTTTATTAAAAGCAAGACTTACTTTCAAACAAGTCATGCTTTAGAGACTGATCATGCAACTTTTGCTAATTAAAAAGTCCCAGTTGGTACAAATAGCCCCAAGCCTAGTTTTTCTATTAGTTGTTGCAGTACTATTGCTCTGTGTAGCTGTAGATTCAGATGTATCAGTTGTTTGGTAAGAGATCTAAATACTTAAGTTGATTCAGTCTCATAATTTTAGTAATTTCGCAATTTATCTGATTTAAAAATATTGCTGTACTTCATCAGTTCTGACTGAACCAGGTAGTAGCGTAGTTCAGGTTTACTTAACAGATGACCTTGTCTAATTGAAGCCTCCAGAACAATTTTTGTGATCCTTGGCCAAAAGCAATTCATCTTTGCTCAGATGATGGGGCCACATGACAGGAGGATATATCTGCATTGTATCACATGAAGATGTGCTCAGGCAATGGGCAGTTTGTGTGGTAAGATAGAGGTAGGCTGAGCAACACTCGTACAGTAGCATGCAGCCTTTCAATAATGGGTGTATCTTTAAGACAATAGGGTTTTTTGTCCTTTAACCCTGTGAGGCTATTAGAAAATGGTTTCACCGTGGTCAGAAAATTATATGTTGTAGTCTACATGTATTCCAAGCTAGTAAATTCTAATGTATTTTCCTGCCACCATTGCCATTTTTGGCATTCCTCTAGGCAGGTGGGACAGCCAGCGTTTATCTTGATAAACTCATTCTTATACATATTTTTTTTTAATGCTAATTTTGTGTGTTGTTTTTCTTTAAACCAACTTTTAAATGCTCCTCTTCTCAGAAACCTGTATTGCCACTTGTTTCAGAAGCTCTTTAGTTCTCCTATATCAGTTATAACTCATGTCTCTACAGTATGATCCATGAGACTGTTTAAAGAATGCCAGTGAAGCTTCCATATTTGTTGGACACTGAAAACCTCACTACATGAACTCTAGAATCGCATTTACATTAGTCACATCTCTAAAAGTGAATTATGTACTCAAACAATGGACATTTGGGCCCTTTTGAAAGTCCTTTGGCTGTGATGCATTGGTTTACAAATATTTTCCTTTTGTATGTTAACAAGGTCAAGTAGCAAATTCCAATGGAACAAAAGCAAAATTTCTGGTGTTGGTGGTGATTGCTGCATTTGATTAGTGCCAAGCATTAAGTGTGAAAAAGGTATCAATGAAAAGAAATGGGCCATTCTCTAATGAGTTGCCAGAGAATTTGTGTGTAGCAGCTGTTGACTTTTGGATAGCAAAATCAAGCTCAAATTTTGTAGAAACAGATTCATGCAGTTTTCTTCACAGCAAACATGCTTTCTTATCCATTAACTATCCACAAACCAATCCTGTTACAGAAGTAATTGTTAATAAGGGTGGTTTTTTCCCCCCCCTCTACAGACTAACAGTCCTTAACTCTCATATCATATGGAACTAGACCTGAAACAGTTTAAAAATGTTGCTTAAGTGGTAGGTAAGAACAGTATGCCATGTTCTGTCTTTTAGAGGATCCCCTCAGGCATTAGAAAGTCCTTAATATTGTCATCAGTAAAGTGTATGTGTGTTCTGAAGAGTCAATTGTAAATTAATAACAGAGCGCTGCTTCAGTAAACGGTGTGCTTAATGTGTGCGTAAGGTGAAGGACAAACCAGAATGGAAGATGAATCATCATGAAGATAAACAATGAAAATGAAAGAGGAGATAAAGGCAGATTATTAAATCATTAAGAGATGTAAGGCTATCTCCCACAAGGAGTTTTGCAGGGAGGTGAGAGAAGCTTTCTGAGAGGTTCACGAGGTCTGTATGTGTCAGCTAGTCAACAAGGTGTGATGGTTAGATGAGGAGGCCATGTTCCTTAGGCAATGTGATGCAGTAGAGTGTTGTGTTTGAAGTTGTAACACTTGCTGATAACCTGTTCTTTTTTTTCAACAGTGAAGAAGTATGTAAACGAGGATTCACTGTCATTGTAGATATGCGTGGGTCAAAATGGGACTCCATAAAGCCTCTGCTGAAGATTTTACAAGAATCCTTTCCATGTTGTATTCATGTTGCACTGATAATCAAGCCAGACAATTTCTGGCAGAAACAGAGGACTAACTTTGGCAGCTCTAAGTTTGAGTTTGAGGTAATTTCCCCTGTGGTGTACAAATATGCATTTATGTTGTGATGTTAAGTGTGTTCACTACCAATCATAATCTTGAAAACCCTCAGACAAATCATGTTATAGATGACTGGAGGGGTATGTTAGGTCAGTGGTACTGGATGGAATGTGGTTTTCTTCGTGTACTTCAGGTAGTGTTGCACGTTGTTATTTACGTTCTTTTTTGGAGTGTGAGAAAGGTGAAATCAGGGTTTTACCCTAATGGTAAGAAGTTAGGTTTCATCTGTTTGTTTTCTTGGTCTGCATTGTGATAATCATGATATCACAAGCAGCAAACTGAACCTTGCTGTTATCTTCCTGCTGCTTTACAATACACAAAGTCAAAATGTAGTCAAAACAGTAGTTGAAACGGTGGTTACTGTTTTATTCTTAAGTATAGTGAGCTAAGAAAGAAATACTTCTTTTATTTGGGGAAATACCTGCAAGGACAGGAGACTGGTCAGAATTGATGAAAAAAGTTAATTCACATAGACTTTATGGGCAAAATTATTATCTCTTAAAAAGAGAAAAGATGAAACTTGAAAGAAAATGTCAAATTCATTTCAGTAACAGCTTTTTTTAATTTTTATTTTTATTCTTTGTAGACAAATATGGTGTCTCTGGAAGGCCTTACCAAAGTAGTTGATCCTTCGCAGCTAACCCCAGAATTTGATGGCTGTTTGGAATACAACCATGAAGAGTGGATAGAAATCAGAGTTGCCTTTGAGGACTACATTAGCAATGCAACCCATATGCTGTCCAGACTGGAGGAACTACAAGATATGTTGTCAAAAAAGGAAATGCCTCAGGACCTGGAAGGTGCTCGCAATATGATAGAGGAGCATTCGCAATTAAAAAAGAAAGTCATTAAGGCCCCTATTGAGGACCTTGATGTGGAAGGACAAAAGCTGCTCCAACGGATACAGAGCAGTGACAGCTTCCCCAAAAAGAACTCTGGGTCAGGGAATGCAGACTTACAGAACCTATTACCCAAAGTGTCCACCATGCTGGACAGGCTGCACTCAACACGGCAGCATCTGCATCAGATGTGGCATGTGCGGAAATTGAAATTGGACCAATGTTTTCAGCTCAGGCTGTTTGAGCAGGATGCTGAAAAGGTAAGGGATTGAGGGAGCTGAGTATAAATGCTGCATCATGGACTTTAAAGAAGTACCAAGATAACTGCAAATAGTAATTTTTGTCCTTAGAGTTAATCACTAGCCTTTTAATGAGAAGTAAAGGATTTCTTGATTGAAAGTGACTCTTAGTCTTCTGGAGTAAAAGAGGAGGAATAATAATTCTAAGCTGTAAAAAACATGTAGCTTTCACAAAACAAAATTGTGTTAGTGACTTTAAAGCTTTTGCTTTGTTAAGTTTTTCTTCCAGATACGTGCTTTTACATGCATCTGTGAAGATGAATGCTGTATGCTTTATAAAAACAGATGACTAAGGACTACACCAGTGTCCTTTTGAGCAACCCTTGGGATTTGAGTGACAGGCAGTCAACAAAGTCTGAAGAGACTGACAAGGGGAACTGCTTCATTGATGCAGGATTTAAATTCTCAGGCTAAAAAATGATGTATCTCTTTTGACAGTGCATATGTCTTTAACAGAGTATTGAGTGATCTAGAAATGTTTCAGGTTGACCAGTCTTTTCAAATGAAGAAGCCCTTGATTGTCATGGAATTTGAAGAGGAAATATGGCAGACAGTGCACTTTTAGATGAGTTTAACGAAGATCTATTTTCATATAGAATGGTTTCGCAATCCCTTGTTATTAACTTGTAACCATGGCACAAATAGCTTTAAGGAAGGGTGGGCAGTTTTTTTCTCCAGGAGAAACAGTAACTAGGCTATGCAGTCAAGTGGTAACTATTGTCTTTGTCAGGTTTCTTAAACTATACACTGTGTAAGAATGCCTGAACTGGGTGAGACCAAAGGTCTGTGTTTAACCGGAATCCTGCTCTCCAGTAGTGTTCATAAGCATATGCATGGGGAAGACTGAAAACAGAGCACACGTATATATACTTCTTTTTCCTCCTTCTTCTGTTTTCTTCCCCTACACATTCCCTTACTCTCATCATTTCAGCTCAGGGACTTTCTTTACATTACTCTTGATGTTTTCTGCTGTTTTAAAAAAAAGAAATAATTTTTTGAAAGTACCATTTAAAGTGTTTACTGAATGGGTAAAGCTGAAAACAGTGGGGACATGTAAAGAGTTGAAAATATCTGGTCAAGTGAATTTAGAGTTATAAAATTACCTGGAAAATAACAAGCTGTTGGTCTACTATTGCTCTTTCAAGCTTGAAATGCTTTTTAGCAACCTTTCAGCCACTAAGTTTCAGCATTAAATACTCTTTATTACAGCATTAACAAAAAATACTTTGATTATAATGAAAGACATATTCTTGATTTACTCATTTAAAAGTTGCCTACATAACTTGGGCTTTACAAAAATGAAGTACTTGAGCCTGTGGGATTGATCCTGCCATGTGGTTGGATAAACTCCTGTCTGTTTTCTAGGTTCTATTAAATTAATGCATCTTTGTTTCAAAATATAAGGAAATGTTAGGTACCTCAAAATGGAGCTCACAGCAGTGAGGTGCTTTATCAGTGTATGTCTATGTATTTTATTTAGGTGTAGGAAAGGACTGGGTCTTTGGAGAAATAAATTGTACTGCATGGGGGGAAATAAATATGTTCATTTTGGGGGACTTGCACAAGTATTCACATGAAATCTG